TGAAAAAAGCCATTTTCTCAGCAATAAAGAGCCGAGAGAGTAGTGAATGGTCTTGTTCAGTAATCATGCATGCTGATTTCAGTTGTAGCTTTCAGGAGAGTTTACAAAGATTGCTTGCAAAATTGGATTCTACCAGTCAACGAATTTCTCATATTAGTTGGCTGGCTTGAGTGCAAAAAATGGATTTATTGCATTTTCTCATATTAGTTAGACTGGATTGATGAAACTTTTGCATGGGAGATGATTATTAGAATTTGATTTGTTGAATAGGCACAATCTGCTTCTTGGTTTCATTTGCATTAATAATTATGGGTTTATTCTCTAAACAATATGAAATTGTAGGCTAGTGGCTATCTCGATTTGTTGATATGCTAGTAGATCCTCTATTGGCTTGCTACTCTTTAATGTACTTGTTTGTGGTTGATTTAGCCTTTGAATTTGGGGGTATTTTTGACATTTTTTAATCTCATCAGGTAGAAAATGAAGAAGAATTGCTTTGTGCAGGTAAGATTTACTAGCTATGCTTTTGCTACCCATTTATGTGACTACAAACTTGAATTGCTGTTGCTCTCTTCTTGGTATATTTTCAATATAACAAAACGGTTTTTTAATGAAAGGAGGAAGAGATTTTTCTAAATTGGTAGATAAGTTGATGCAATCCCTAGTTATGTTTGAGTCTAGAACAAGTCGATCACTGAAGGGTTCTTATTTTGTTTATGTGAATTGTAATTTACAAACTCAATTTAATGCAATACTGTAGAAATTTTCCTACCTTGGTGGATAAGGTGATGCAATCCTAAGTTGCATTCGAGTCCAGAACAAGTCAATTACAAAAGGATTCTTATTTCGTTTTTGTGAATTCTAATTTGCAAACTCAGCTTAATGCAATCCTGAAATTTTGAGTGCTGAGTAGGATTGGTTTGCTGTCCAATTGGAATTTATTATTTTCTGTCTCTTGCATGGAAGGACTGAGGATGCACATCAGGCTGCTCTATGGTATGTTCTTAATTTTCTTATACATTTGATTTTAGTTTTATTATTTTTTATTCACTTAATTAAAATAGACAGGCTGCAATCTTTTCCAGTTGTTGTACTTCTATTTGTCAAAAAAATTGCCAGTGATTCTTACATGGGCCATATTCTTGTACATTTCATTGTCTACTGCTACTTTTAG